TATATAAGTTAATTAGATCATAACAAAAAACATAAATCATTCAAAATACTATTAATATAAAACATAATATAAATTTAAAACGACGTTAGAAAGTTTTTGGTGTTATTTTATTGTAAATTAACAATTTTTTAAAGTTAAAATTATATCAGTCTGGTATTACATTAATGTTTAGTTTGGATCGATATAAAATATTTACAATAATTAGGCACTAATACATGCAAAGATAATGTCGATTGCAAATATGTTTTATTATTAAAAAAGTAAAAATTTTGTAATTAACATAGTAAATTTATCAAACAGAAATCAAGTCGAAAATAATAAAATGAGAGTAAAAAAAATTCTACTCTAATTATTATATTTATATTAAAATTGGCAGTAATAAAATTTAATACTTTATATTAATAAATAACTGTAATATAAATAATGAAATATATATACATTGATATAAATAAGTTAAATTTAACAAAATTAAAAAGGCTTATCATTTATTTTTTATAATTCAACATTTTTTATGAAATAATATAAATAAATTGATATAATTTATATTTGCTATATAATAGGATGATATCAAAGTTGTGGGAAAAACATTAATGAAATGGTTGAAGTTGACTTAATAATTAGGAAAGTGTTTGAAAATATAGGCAGTGAGGTTAACAAAGAAAAAAATGCCATAATGGTCGAAGATACAGTAAATATTTTAAAATTGTTGGAAAACATCCCTAAAGTTACTAAAGAACACCTATTTACATATTCGGGTGTTTACTAAGATGAAAAAATTAACAGTATAACAACTATAATTGGAATCAAAGATATAATTAAAAATGGATTAAAACAAATGACAGAAATAAGCTCAAGGAATATAATTCAAAATATCAACAAAAAATACTTGGTAAAATCAAATATTTTTCAGGTTTCTTGTTGTAAAAAGTTGGTGATCTGAGTGAAATAAACAAAATGGTAATTTAAAGACTCAAAGAAATGAACTTTATTGCGAAAAGAGCTTCTACAGAAAGGCTTTATGATAATTGTAAAAACCTAGGTCATTGAGTTCGATGTGCAAGAGATAAAGTTTTTAAAGAGATATTCAGAAGTGTAACCGCTACAATTGACAGTCATGACAATAAAATTAAAAATAGGATGAAATACGATATTGATAACAAAAGTGGAATAATAAAAGAATTATATTAGATATTAAAGGAAAGATTTGACATAGAAAAAGTTGAGATATGGATAGGTAAACAAGTAAATGAACATGTCGATATTAAAAAACTTTTGCACAAGATAAAAATTAAAATAAATGAGTATCATGTCAATAAGTGAAAAAACTAAAAAATGCCAGGAACATTATAAAAATGCTAAACATTAATAATGTAGACTTGGAAATAACTGGGCAAGCTTGGAGTAACCTTAACATAAAATGTGGAACGTAAAACGTACAAACAAATTATGACACGTCAAGGAATGGTTATATTATTGGTGAAAGAAAGTCGGCAATATCAGGAATAGAAATGGATAAATATTGCAAATATTGTCAAATTGTGAACTCTGTTAGCCACATTCTTCTATCTTACAAAGCTCACAAAAAAATCACAAATTGACAAACATGACAGTATTATTAATAAAACGTGGAGAGCTATTATGATAAAATACGATAAAATCCACGTTGGAAATCAAAACATAGTAAAGCATCTAGAAGGAAAAAACATGAAAAGAGAAAAAAATGACGCTAAAAATAGATGGCAAATATCCTTAAAAAACCCTTCATAACATAGAAATTGAAAAGAAAAAGCTTATATTTAGATATAAGATTTGTGGTTAACAAAAATTTGAGTTTAGCTTTTTTGGAAAAATCAAAAATATATGGAATTTCGTTAAAAACTTAGAAAATGTTGGGATATAAATAGTTTTTTTATATATACAGTTATGTACAAAACCAGTGCAACTCTTGCAAAAATAGGGTTACTGAGTAAAAAACATAAGATTCTATAAATACTAAAAATGAGGGTCCAAAA